TACAGAGGAATTTGTAATGTTTTCTAACAGCATCCTGAAGGTGGATTATTAATGTAATCTAGACATCAGTTAGTTTATATTCTGGATTTATGCCTGTATACCTAAAAGCAGAATTTAGCCACTGCTCATTCCATGTCTAAAGAGGACAATAAAAAAATCAAGAGACTGAATTATTTCTCTTTTTTCTACAAGGTTGGAAGGTGGAGGAGGGAGTTGAAATTGCTCTCACAGACAGACTACCCTAGCAAAGAAGCAGGAAAAATGGAGTCCACTTGGTCTGACTTATTTCATTGTACATATCCAAATTCCTTATTGCAAGGCTAAGACTTTTACTCTGGTATCAATAACACACACCTACAGTTTAAGGATTAGGCACTGTCCAGAGAAATGTCTCTTTTGCCTTTGCTCTTAATCAGGTCATGATTTCACCCTGTTTGCATTATGTACATCAGTAAAAATAGATCTTTAGAACTTAACCTTGCTCCTGCTCCAGGGAGATTTTTGCCTGCACTAGGACAGCAAAACATAACTACACACTGACTCTTTTTGCATCATTTCTGACTGTATGCAAGTGTGGATCCTGCTCTCACAGAACTTCCATTAGTTTCACCAGGGGCATGAATGTGGCCTATATCTATAATACAGTTTAATCCATGGGACTTGCTGCTACAACAAAGCTCAGTCAGGGGTCTGCTGAAAAGCCAGGGCAAGAAATTTCACAATTGAGTGAAAGACATTTCAGCTCGGACATACCTTTCAAATCCTGCTGCATGTTTCCTCCTTTCTGGGAAAGTCGCTGGGAAGGGAGTCACTCTCTTCTCCATTGCCCTTGGAACTTTAATTAGTATTGCTTTGGTTTATTTCAAAAGAAGCCATTAAAAAGCAAATAAAGTGTCTTGTGAGACACTACAGAGAGAAAAAGAGGGCAACACAGGAAAAAATGCTGTGAATTGTAATTTAAAAATTGAAAGAAAAGAATAGGTGAGGTATTTTTCCATGTCATTTCTTCAGGATTCTGCTCCTCCTTTTTTTGTTTTTCTGTGATGTCTATGACTTGCTATTCATATTCCATCTCTATGCTTGGAAATTGCTGTCCATCAAGTGAAAGGTGAAGGAAAAGAAAAAAAAAGTGGAACAGTGTGGGGAAGACATGAAGGGATGCAGAGAGGAGATTTATTGAGTGTAAAGGTGTCCAAAGGAGATGGAAATGTGTTCCCCAAGGCCATGGTCTTCGATGGTGCTGCTTGTATTTTCAGGCTGTAGCGTAGCAGATGTAAGAGCCAGACTTCACATGCTACAGTAAGTGCAAAATCTCAAGACGCAGATGCCATCACATCAAGGGTTTCCTTGTCCCCTGATAGAGTCCGCCCACAGTGGTTCTCTAGAAACAGTTCTATTACCAAGTAGACATCCATTGCTTTTTTGTTGTTTTTTTTCTATTTTTATTTAAAAAGTATTTTTTTCTAATAATACATAGAATATATAAATAATAATAATAATTAAAAAAAACTATTTGGGTTTACTTTCTGTTCTCCAACCCATCTGTATTTTTTGTGGTTTGCCGATATATATATATTAAAAGACAAGAAAATCAACTCTGCTCACTATTAAAAAAAATATTAAATCCACTTTTTATGTTTCCAAAGAGAAAGAGAAGGAGGGGAGATGTGATAAAACCAAATTAAAGTGAAAAAAAAAAGAGAAAGAAAAAAAAAACAAAACAGGAAAATCAAAAACCTTCTGTCTCTTCAAAGTAGTTGTCAAGAGCTTTAAATGCTTGTGCTTTCAGTGTACACCCCCACAGGGAAAACATAATAAAAATGACAAAAAACAAAAGAAAAGGCGGGGAGGAGGAAAAAAACCAACCAAACAAAAACCCAAGAGGACCTAAAAAATGAAAAATGTAATAACAATCTTAGTAGTGAAAAGGACAGCTCAGAGTTTCTGTGTCTTTTTAGTTATTTTAGCAGCCGCCCTTTTTGTCTGCAGAGGGAGACCTGCCACCACAGCCACCTCCTCGGCTCAAGAGAGGCTCTTCTGCATCGTCCTCGTCAAAGCCATGAAAGGTCGAGGTGTCGCTTTCTGACGTGGAACCGAACAAGTCCTCCGTAGTGCGTGCTGGCGCTGCTTCGTCCCTCCTGCCTTCTCTTCCCAAATGAGCTGACATGTATGATGAATATATCAGCACATGGGTTAAGCAACAGGCATCATCATCATCATTTTTTTCATCATTTTCATTACCATTAAGCAAGTCAGACTATCAAGCTCATAGGTGTGTGCTTGTATGTGCCCGTGCACCCCAACAACATAGCATAGGTAGAACTGCAGTAAGAAAAATAACAAAGGATCAGTTTCTCTTTCCAAGAAAAATATCTACAAACACCACAGGTGCCCATAGCTACAGCAGCGAAAGGGTTAATCATGTTTTCCTCTCTTCAAAAGACAGTAAAATATTTCCTCATGATTACTTAGATCAATTTTAAAATATTTTTAGACCATGTAAGTAATGAGACACTGTTAGCTCTAAGCACAACGGCATCAACAGTCACAAATGTTCTGCTACGGAGATGTAAACCACTAGATACCTCATCAACCTCAGGACTACTTTTTATCCCCGTTCTTCACCTGATCTTAAAGAACCTCCTCTGTAGACAAAATTAAATACATTTTGAAGACTAAGTGAAAGTAATCTAAACCAATACTTTAACACAAATGTCATGGCATGTCCTTTAAAAATAAAAAAGCCCCAAAACTAATATATACAGTTCAACAACTAAAACAACTGAGAAGTAACCCATCTTGGGAAACACTGGAAAGTTCAAATTTGTGTGAGTCAATCCAACTTTCAAGATGGAACAGGAAATTCTCCACACAATACCAATAATGGCAACAACAACCATAAGAAGACTCCTAAAAAGAGAAGTCAAATGGTGAAATCTGTGAAATTGAGGTTTGTTTTCTCTCTCAGACAAACTTTTTATGTGATTAATAGTATGACCTTCAAATTCCTTCTTTAGGGATGGTAGGGAAAAAGATATCTCTTGTGCCCCAACAAAACTGAAGTGTGAGATTTTAGGGAACAGCTATTTTGTTATTCACAAACAGTAGCATGTACTTAGGCAACCAACTGTTGGGTCCCTGCTCCAGCTACAGGAATCAGCCATATAACAAGTACACTGCATTGCTTGAGACAGAAAGAAGTAAATCCTGTTCACAAAAAAGAAAATGGATATAACAAAATAATTGGCAGATAAACCATATTGTAGAAATGTGATTTTACTGACTTTGTGAACAGAAGAAGCAATATAATTTCCATGACCTCTCTTTCAGTGTAATGAAAATATTCTCCGTTATTATAAAAGAGAAAGATGGCAGCCACCAAAGAGGTTTCATTGTTTTAGTTTAGAGATTAGTGTGTGGTTATACCTTAATTACTTTCATCACACATCAGTCACAGCATTGCAGACCCTATGAATGACCCAAGTGGGTCTGAATTTGTACAAGGATAGCATTTAATGGAACCGATTTGGCACAGTTTAGGCTACAGGCTGATCTACTTGTTCTATCACACTAAGGAATCAAGGGAATTAATGTATTTGTGTTGCAATCTGATATAACCACCATAACAATGTTAAAGCAGCAATAAAATATGGCTCCATCTCATTGTGCCATATCAGGGCAATGCTGAAATTAGTTATATTGAAATATAACAATCAAGGCAAAGGGCAATAATCTTCCAAGATGGCACCACAGACCCCATGGACTTTCCCCTTCAGTTAGTAGAAGCAATCACGTGTACACTAAAAGGTCCATGTCTCTGACTGCACAGCATTCGTAAGGATGCCCCTGGAGAAAACCAAAGGAGTTGCCATTGATTGTCTGGTGACCAGTGTAATTTCAGAATGTCTTCAGAGGTCACAACAACTGCAGAAGGCAATTTCAGTGAGAGTCTAATCATTCTCCCATTGAATGTGGTAATAGGCTTACTATGAATTTCAGCAGGAGCATAAAAAGGCCATTTCCTTGGCATGAGAACATTCCACATCACATTTCAGCCATGAAACAACAGACATCTTTCAGTGACTACAGTATAGAAGGAGCAGCATTCATACTGAGTTTCAAGGCCTCCTTGGTTTTCAGATTTCTATATCACCATCTTATTACCACTAGTATCACAAAACAAAAATATCACAAGTGGAAACTTGGACCAATGCTGGAATATGCAGTTGTTAAAGGTCTCCCAATTCCCTCTACCACCACCACTAATTCCTATGTGAGATATAAATAACTGTTCAGCTGGTATAAAATTGTCCAAAAAAAAAAAAAAAAAAAAAAAGAGAAAGAAAATAAAATAAAAAAAACTAAGAAAGGAGGGAAGAAAACAACAGCCCAGAAATAAAGACAACTCAAATTGGGAAAGACACAATTCAATTGCCTACATTTAAAAAGAGAGAAGGGAAGGGAGAAATAAAAACCTCTTTAAACAAAACTAATGATAGTCATCTTATAAGAGGATAATTCTTGACAGCTAGCCCCATACCTACCCTGTAATTTTCTCCCTCTTTCTTTTTTGGATGAAGAAATGCATGAAATGTGTAATCAATGGGAATGCTTGTCATGCAACTTTCATAAATCTTGTAAGTAATTTATAGTTGTAATTACAGCATTTAAAGACAGAGACCATTCTGTAAAATTGTCATAGGATTTTCTCCTTCCATGTGAAGAACAACTAGTACATGTACCAATGTTCCCAAAAGCCAATAAATAAATTAAAACTTCATTATTCATAAGACTCCATTAGCTTAAATATGTGAACCCAATAATGGGGTTTATAATATAAAATTTTTTCAGTCATCCTTTCCCACAAACACAGAGAAGAGGTAAGATTCCATCTTCAATCCCTTCCCAAATATGATGCCTTTCTTCAAAACCTTCAGAAGGTGCAAAAACCAAATCACAAAAACCTTTGTACAAAAAAGATGCAAGAAGGAGTCACCTACCAGAGCGCCCACAGTCTGAGCACGATACAAGTTCCTCAGGCCGGCCACTTTTTTTGTTCATATTGGAGCCTCCGAGGCAGAAGTCACAGTAGTTATTGGGAATGATGACCCCATCTGGTCCTTTCTGGGCTGTAGTTGGGTTAGAAATCAGATTTACTACAAGAGCATTCACTTGGACCATTTGCCCCCCATTCTTGATATGGTGTTAGCTCAGTGAGTTTGCAGGCCACAGTCTTCCCAAAACATTGTCAATCAGAACAAAAAGTGAACTGCATAAACCACCTCCATTTTAACTACACCCTGGGTTGTATCTATTTTGCCTGAAATGCCCTTTACTATTTCCTTTATAATCCCAGCCAGGCTGCTCCTTCTCAAGGACATGCTTCCAGATATGCCTTTACAGTTCAGGGACTTGTAACATACAGGTATAGAGGCAATCCCTAAGGCAGGATAAGACCTATGTGGTCAGTAAGCCAAATTTGGTTTTTCAGGCAGCCGTCATCATCATAATCCCACAAAGTACAAATTCATAAATGAAAAATAGAGTCTCCAAAACTCAAAAATTAACAGTGGGAAGATGGGGGGATAGGTACCCTTACTGGTTTTATTTCAAGTAGCTTCTTAGGGGCCTGCATCTCTTTAGCCAGAAGGTTGGTTCAAAAGCTCCTGAATATTCAAAGGCAAAGCCATTTGGGAATGTTTCACCCAAGACTCAAGGCCCCTGCAGCAGTCATGTTCCCTTGGATGAGCAAGAAGGGTCCAACACTACACTAGCACCAAGCACAGATGCAGAGGAGCCTGGGCAGACATCCCAACAAGCAGAGTTAAAGACTTTTTCAGCCAAGAAAAAAGGAGCAAGATTATATTATTATTTTCCAGCTAGGAATACTTGGAAAGGAGCAGACACACGCTGATCTTAAGTAAAGGAGGATGCAGATCCCTTTGGAAGAAGAGAAGAGCAGAGGTCTTCTGCATTCCTCTTAGTTGAGCAGAACAGCAATGTCCTTTTTTTTTTGCTCACAACAGCCATTTCCCTCCTCTGCTCTCCAGAAAAGGAAAACATCCTCCTGTACACTCTAACTATGAACTGGGGAAGGGAGTGGAGGTAATGGTTGCTCTTTGTCTTTGTTTCTTTTAACATAAAAAATCCAGCTATATGCCAGTAGGTATACCTGGCCTAAGCCTACTGCATGAACTTTAGAAATGAGAAAATGAAGAACTTTAAACTGTACCATCTTTATTTAATTATCTTTTTAATGCATATTTTGTAACTTGCAGATTTTTAACAGATGTTTTGACAGCCTTTATTAATGGTCTTTTTGTCCACATTCAAATTTCCCCCAAAGAACAATGACATTCTAAAGGGCTTCTGGTAGCAGTCCAAGACATACACTTTAAATTAAAATTTCCTCCAAGTTCAATCTGCTTTTCTGGTTTGGGTGCATCTAGTTATTCATTTATTTCCAGATGTTGATCAGCTGAACTTTTGGAGATTGGTAACTAAAAGATTCCAGGTAAGGTGAAATTAAGAAGAAAATCAACCTATAAGGCTGCAAATACATCACTATCTTCCTGTGTGGTCATGGAGATCCTGACAGTATTTAGTAAACAATGGACTTTGCTCTAAAATGGTCCTGGTTGACAGATTCCCAACTTCCTCAAAAAAAGAGAGAAGCTTCCAGTGTTAGATTAGCATTTTGTCTGTTCCAGGAAGGCATTTAATTTATGCAAGATAAGCAAAAAAAGAACAGGAACCAGGTGGAAGTCTAGCACACCGGCTCATTTTAACAGCTGTAACAAAATGATCATAAAGTTGTTGCTGCTACATATTTTGTGTATAAAAAACAGATCTCCCAAGCATTTATATTTCCCACTGCAGCTCCATTTTGAAAAAGTTAAGTAATTATCTCTTTATATTATTCTTTATATTATTCTGCATCTACAGACAGTCCATGTGCAGTGCAAACTCAGCAAGCTCAGAATCCAGTGACTTTTTTGTTGTCCCTTATTAAATTATTTCACCTTTCATCCAAGTTTCTTAAAGTGCCTTACAAAGATCCTATTATTAACCTTCAGCGAGATCAAAAGCCTCTTTTGCCATTGAATCTAACCAAAGTGTTCTGGACCCTAATTAAGTCTCGTGGTAAGGTTGCATTGCATTTTAAAGCTGAAAGACTTGGAGGTAGAGTGGTAAACTGGCTTATTCTCAAACACACAAAAATCCTGTGGCAAGGCCACAAGCAGTCAGGGTGCCAGCCAGCAGATCTAGGAAAGAGCTCCACTTCTACCACTGTTCACAGTGGTGTAATTAACACACTGTATATAGTGACTTAAATTTATTTACACATCGATTATGACCATAAGATGTTGCAGGGTGATGCCATTTCCTGCTTCAGCTCCCAGGTGTGGCAATACCTTCTCCCTTCCCCTCCCCCTTGCCTCCTTGCTAAGTGCTGTCAGTCAATCTTAACATTCCAGCAAGGCTGTCGTCTGGTTGTTGCAGTTCAAAAATGCCCCTCAGCCCTGGGGTCATTGGCCCGTCTAGGTGTCATTGTCCCCTGAGACTGCCCCCCTCCCACCTGGTTGGTGGCTCACCTGTCCCTTCCCCTCCCCCTTCCCCAGGGCTTAAAAGACATGGAGACCATGCGGTCGGGATTCTGTGGAGCTGTTACCAAGATTCAGACATATGTGACCCTGGAATAAAACTCTGGATTAAACCCTCTGCAGAATCCATCTCCTTTTCCTCTTCACCGTCACCTGAACCTTTTCCACCAGAGGTAAACTGAGTTTCTACCATGCCTGGATTTGTTCAGAGTGCCCAGCTGCAGCATCCAGCCAGCCAAAGGTGTCTCTGGGGTGAAACACCACAGCTGCCACCTTTGGCCCAGCAGCGAGGGTCAGACAAGCCCAGGCACGTTCCACCTGGTAATATTGGGATTTTATTCCAATAAAGATCCACTGACTGTCAAACTGGAAATGGGACAGGGGGACTCAAAAATACCTACACTGCTCAATTCATCTGCATTGTGTGAGAGAGATGGAGGGTATTTGCTGAGTATGATAAAGCCAAAGGGATTCTCCCAGACCACTGGAAAGGGAATAAACTTCAGCTGTGGGTTTGATTGCTCTTCTCTTATTCTTTCTTCTCTTTCTTTTCCTTGTTTCCCCCTTTCTTTTCTTCCTTGTTTTTTTCCAATTTATTTATTTTTTAATCTGAGTGTCTGTCTGCTCACTTATTAAGCTGGCTCAGTAGAGTGTGATAGAGATATCAGGCCTAAAAAGTCATAGACAGATGAGAAGTTCTCAAAGTTACATTAATGATATCTTAAATGATGTATCTCTAAAGCCAAACAAGCCAGGCAATTTTATTCTCCTCATTTTTTTTTCTAATGTGCAAAAACAAGAACCAAACCTGACTTAGCTTATTTTCTTGATCAGTACCATACAGTGAATTAAGTCACAGGCGAAATCACAGAAGGTTTGAGAATAAAGAGATTTTCAGATGGCAGAGTTCTTACTTTGAAAGGAACTTTTTTTGCATATATCCTCAGAGTTTCTAGTTCTATTTTACTGTCATTAACAAATGATGAAGGAAAAATGGCAAGATTTAACATGTAATCCTCATGAACAGGGTATCATGCAGGAAAAGCCCGACCCTAATCTCACCCCTAAATCAATAAAACTATGGATTCACAAGAAAAAACAATTTCCTATGGAGTAATGTTGCTGCTTTTCATCTGAGACATAGTAATTAACTAGGTATTCACTTTTTGCATAAAGTGATCAACAAATAGAAGGTGCAAGTTTAAGCAAAATAGCTCAACTAGCAAGTAATAACTCCCTAGCAGAGAGTTGAGTCATTTAGATCAGGTGACTGCCTCCAAGGATTTGGTTTAAAAAAAAAAAAACCTCACCCATAATTAGAAACTGTTTTAAAGCAATGGCTTGAAAACCAGCCATGGCCTTGTCCTATCTTACTCAAAACTCCTCTGATTTTCTTTTACATTGCAAACTGCAAAAACAGATCAAAAGCTCTGAGAAGCTTTGAGTATTGCCTGAGCTAAAGTTTGCTTATAGGAGGTGTACTTAAATCAGTGCCTCTTGCCATTTCAACTTAGGGTTGTTTTCAGAATGTCTTCATCTTTTGATGAAACCTGAATGTAGAATGTAGATGTCTTCATCTACATCTCCCCTAAAATTGTGTATAAAATTTTTTAAAAATACTTTAAAACTTAAAAAATGGATTAAGGAGAGACATGGAAAGATCTGTACAGTTCAAATAATACCTTTCCTGAACCTGAATGGTGATCCACGTGAAGACAGGATGCAGAGTGAAAATAAAGTCAGTATTTCCAAATAAATTTGGTATGCACTTGCTCTGAAACTTTTTTTTTTCTTCTCAGCCTAATCAAGTTAATTTCAAGCTATAACAAGCTGAGCAGAATAAAGAACTACTTAAAATATGGTATCATCATTCACAGCAGTCTTTTAGCAAAGTTCATTAAATTACATAAATTATGTAGTATATCACACAGTAACTTTGTTCTGTAGACAAAACCTGAAAACTAAACAAGTTGACTGAGTTTAAGTATATAAAATACTTTATGTGCATTCTTGATTTTGAAAGCAGAGGCTCTAAAGAGAATTCTAACTTCCCTTCGCCCCTCCCAAGCAACCAAAAAAACCCTGTAAGCTATCTTCCACATAGTTTCAGTTTAATAATAAAAGCAAGCTGCTTATAATGAAATAACATCAAGAAATGAGGAATTTTCTTTTCTACATCATCTCCTGGAGCCACATGACTCAATAAAAATCTCTTTTTAGAGATTAGAAGTAGAAGTTTTTTACTCCTCAGGGCTGCAGAAAATATCTTTGATGGAAGGCAAGTTCAGAAGAAGTCTCTGTTTTTTAAACAGAAAATTCAGAGTACAGATATTTTAAATCATTTTTCTTCAAAATGTGACCCTTAAATATATACAGACAAACCCCCAAATAAATAGAACCTTATATCTATGCATTTTTATGATTTCTGTGTGAAATTATTTTGATGATTTGGATCACAATCTTCAAAAACTTGTGAAGTGGAACCAGTGCTTAAAAGAAATACTGGTTTTCTGCTCCTGGATAAA